CTATGCTAAAAGAATTGAACATGAATGAAATAAAAGCATTCTTGAATAGTACTATAGATAATACTATAAAATAAACCTGTTTATGACGAACCAAGCACTTAGTCCCTAATATTTTAACCTGTATGGCAAGGCCAAACTTCAGTTATGTACTATTGAATGAGAGGACCAATTGAACTTGTTTACTGATTAATCTTCCTTTGTTTTAATTGAAGAGTCAAACAATATTAATAAAACATTATACTTTTAAAAACAAATATTCTCTAGTATATTTAATTATCAATATGTTATTAGTTCTATGTTTATTTTACCTCTTAAATATTGTTCAGATAAAATTGTGACATAATTTGAGTAAAAGGGTTTTGGACAGTTTAAGACAGGTTTGGACAAAGGGGTTTTGGACAGGACGGTTTAAACCGTGGATTAATCCATTCTGTCCTAAACCTTGCCAACCCTGGTCAAAATGAATTACAATCAATGTTGATAATTGATAAAATGGTTGGGGAGATTTCCATATCGTGATCTGTCGTGCCAACTGCAATCTCCAAGCTGCTAAATAGATTTTAAACTTGCAATTTTTTTAAAAAAAAGATGTAGATGTTTGCCCGGGGGTAGCTACGAGTTATACCTTTCGAGTTGGTCTCTTTCTGTGATGTTGTTTTTAGTTTCTCGTGGGGCACTGCCCGGAAGCTTCCAAGACTTGGTGATTATTTTGCCACAGATTACGATACGGAAATCTCCCCAAATAGTTATTAAAAAGAAAACAATTTTCCAAATTAATAGTGAAATTTTTATAACCCATTGCTATAATCTAAAAAAATATTTAAAAAAAATACTTAAAACATGAGGAAAGAAAGCAGAAAAATAAATTGTAATTGATTAGGGAAATCTCCCCTCATTAAAGTTACATTTATTTTATGTCATGAGTCATTAATTTTTAAAACAAGGTCATTAATGATGAAACAAACAATTAACTGAAATCAGTAATTACCCTTAGAAGCGGAATTTTTATGAAACTTATTTTTCATACACTTTTCATTATTTTTTATAGATTTAGGTCAAAGAAAAAAAATAAATATTGCATTTAATATTTTAAATAATGTTTATGAAATACAGCATGGAACAATGGTTTCATTTTCTACATTAAAGGTAAAATCTTCTGAGTTTGGGCTAATAATAAATGTTTTCAAATTTGTAGTTATTTAAATTTAAGAGAAAGTTATTCTTCATCGATTGAAAATTTCTTTTAATTTTTATCACTAGATTTGCCCAAGGAAGTCATTTTGACTGCTTTTTAATTTCAATTAAAAAAAAACAATGAGGTATATAATGACACAATTTTTTAGAATTTTGTGACTTTTTGTACAACATGTAATTTTTTTATTGTTAATATTTTCTAGTAACTTGTTATATAACTGTAAATAATATAAAAAATATTGAAATTAATTTTAAAAAAATTTCTTTACACATTAGTTATTCTTTCACAATCCAGTCTTTTGGGCAATATAGGTATATACAAAGTTTCAGTCTGTCTTTCTAGTGTTAAAATCAATTATTGATAAATTTTTGAACATGAATGCGAAAATGACTTTTCGGTTATTAATTCAATTGTTTATTAACTATCTTGATAACTGTTTTTTTTTTTTAAAAAAAAGGTGATTTTGCTTGCCCTCAACTAATGGTAAAGTGCCAATAAAATTTTATTTAGCAGTGAAAAATGCAGAATGAATTGAGATTAGTTTTAACAATTATCGAAAACAGGTTTTAAATTGAACTGGATTTGCAATTGCTAGACGTTGAAGTACTTTTTAACTAATTTTATTGTTTTCCTAAAGTTAAAAAAAATAAACAGCTTCTAAGTTTTTAATATTTATTTTATATGTGTATTTAGTAAATATGCAATAACTATTACATAGATGTTACATAATTTTTTTCTTTTCATTTTAGCAATAGGCAATCATTTCAAGTATACTGTAGTTGTTTTTCGACAAATTGTCAACGTGCAGTGCCATTAACTCAACAAGAAGTTTCTGCTGCATTAAGACCTTTTTATTTTGCAGTGCATCCTGATTTATTTTATCAGTTTCCTAGAGAGAAGGTAATACATAGTGTACAGAATGGTTGTCAACAATATAAAGTTATTTTCAGACTTCAGGAGAGTCTTTTGACATTAAAAATGGTTTTTCTTAATACCTTTTACACTTAGTCAAGTGCAGCTAATTTTAACTTTATTTATTTCATTTTAATTCAAAACTAAATGGATGTCCAGAGATGATTGTGCTCCAGAAAAATCTGGTTTTCCGGATTTTTCGCTAACCGCGGTCCGGAAGTTTCTGGAAATCCAAGATTCAGAAGTTTTAAGAAATCATCGATCACATTTATGTACAAAAACTTCTGTATATTTTATTTAAAAATATTAGAACTAGAATTTATACTTGGCATCTCTTTCATTTGTAAATATTTTTCCTGTTAGAATAATAATTGTGATTAGAGATAAAAGTAAATTTGTACATAATCATTCATTTAAATTAGGCTGCATGTAATTTATTTAGAATGTCATGTTTTGAAAATATCTATGATCTAAATTTATAGAGACATTAATTTTTTGAAATGCGTCATTAATGATTTTACTCAAGAAATTTTCAGGATTTTTGAGTTGGGCTCGCAATCACCCCTGTGGATGTCTCCCCTGCGAAAATAAATAACAAAAATTTTTTTATCACAATGAAACAATTTTTCAAGTATCTGATAATTTCATATTTCTTAAATCAAATATTTGCTGTCCAGAAGTTGAAAGTTAGATGAAAAAAATTTGGAATAACAAACTGGTTCATGTAAACATAAATATTTAACTTATATATTTTCAATGTACTTAACTGTTCTCTTATATTTAATGTAAGTCAATTTCTTATTCAAAACCTATTGGAACATAAATGTAAATTAAGTTCTCCAGCAAAGTTTGTCTCTTTAAAGTAGTTACTATGATTCCAAAGTAGTTTGTTGTCACTACAGTAAAAAAAAAAGTAGTTGTAATTGTAATTAACTACATTTGTAACAAAGTAGTTGTAGCAAACTACAAAAATAATGTAGTTTTCTCCACCACTGTTTTTAACATTTGTGTTCGTTTAAATTTGCCAAGTTTTCGAAATAGTGAACATTTTAGAAAGTCACAGGAATCGTCTAATACTCCTGATTTCAGACTAAAAAAAATATATATATATATATATCCTGTGTATCTTGGGTTTATTGTTGAGCACTGTTGTTTAAAAGTTAGTCAGAATTCATTTTTAATTCACAACTAATTCATGTCAGTGGTTTCCAATTTTTTTCAGCCCCAGAACCCTGAACAATCAAACTTCTTTTGGTAGAACCTTGACTTTTAAAAAATTAATTCCGAAATATATCAAATGAATTAACTCTGAAATATTTAATGTGAATGAAAATTTTTCATTGCTTACATTAAGACTTAAAATCAGGTTTCATGTTAGGCAGTTACATTTGCAAGTCTTCAGAGGCTCCTTTTTTGTTTCAATAAATTCTGTGGAAGGTTGTCAGAGAAAAATAACTTATAACAGTTATAAAAGTATTAACTTTTTTTTAAGAAACAAGCAAGTTACCTTGTAATTGTGTATTTAGTTTTATGATAAATTCATTTCTTTATTTAGGTAGTATAATTTTTTTTTCATAATATAAATGATACAATAATTTTTAATATTCTTTGCTTTATATGTATAAATCTTTTAAAACTAAATCTATTATTTAATGTAAATATCAATAAATGACATAATAATGTAAATAGCAATTAATGACATACATAACAATTATTTCTAATTTTAGTGCCTGTTTTCATAAATTTATTAGACATGCTAAATTTTTATTTTATTTTTGAAATGATAAAATTTTAATTTCTAGTTTGCTTCTTATGGTTTTAGTTTATTTTTAAAGATTGAAAAACTTTATTATTTTTATAGGAAATAAATGAAAATTCTTTGAAGCAGCTGAATTTCTATTTGGAAACAGTTTTGAAAAATTTGCCCACAAGTCCAATATCATTAACATTTTGTCTGAAAGATGGACAGCCTAAAGTCAACAAGAGTAAGTAGTTTGTATGAGATGCTACAAATAGTAATAATAATATTATTATTAAATTTTCCCCGGTTCTGCTTTGAATTTTTTAATTTTCAGTTTTCTATCATTTACGCTTTTCTAATTTTTTTGAAATAATTTTTCTACTTTTTACATGGTGCATACCATTTTTAAAGAGTGCTTAAAGGTACTTATTTTAGATTTTTGTTTTGTAAAAGCCCTTAGAGGTGCTTTTTTCATTGGGTGTTTTTAAAAAGTGCTTAATGTCTTTACCATGTCGATTTTCGCCATGTATTATGCAAAAGCATGCTTTTCACATTGTTCTATTCAATGTTTTTACAATTCATTCGACCTCAATGCATTTCGGCATACCATCGGCCCATAGCGTATGAAAGCGCCAATCATTTTATGTGTTTTACATTATTTTATCATGATCATGCAAAGTCTTTGAAAATTATTTTACGTTTTTTTAATGTATATAGTGCTTAAAAATATTTTTGAGTGCTTAAGAAATACTTAAAAGGTGCTTATTTTTTGTTGAAAGATTTGGCTATGCACCATGTTTTATTATACAGTGAAACTTCTTCTCATTTATTGTACCACCACCTCCTACAACGACCACTTTTTTAGCGCACCAATTTTTGATGCTATCAATCTGATTTTCAAATGTCCTTTAGAAATGACCAAGCATCTGTTAGGAACGGATCATATGCTACCCTGATAAAAAATTTGCTTGTTTTTCACTTAAAGTAAACAAAAATACTTTTTTAGCGCACCAATTTTTGACGCTATCAATCTGATTTTCAAATCTCCTTTAGAAATGACCAAGCATTTGTTGGGAACGGATCGTAGACTACCCTGTTAAAAAATTTGCTTGTCTTTCACTTAAAGTAAACAAAAATACATTTCAAACGATATGGAGAATCTTTGATTCCTTTTTTTCGCACAATTGACCTTTAATGTTTGCAAGTAGAGGATAATCTATTAGGGAAAAAAAGATTCTGAATATCTTTTTACTTTAAACATGATCATGAAATTTCAGTTTTAAGGTGCTAGCTTGGCTAGCATTTTTGCTTGCCACTAATTTCACAAAAAAAACTAAAAAGTTTTCAAATTGTTAACTTATGTTTTAACAAGAACGTTTTGAGGACCAAAATCAGACCTGTATAATATACACAAATGCCGTTAATGGAAAATTTTCACCGTCGAAATTTTTTTTTTACTGTTTCTGAAAAAGAAAAAAATCTGACTTCCGTTTGCCTTCTTCAAATTCCCTTGAAGAAAAAAGATTCACTTTTACGATTTTTTCTACCAATGCCAACACGATTTAAAATCACATTCACATGATTTAAAATCACATATCGTGATTCCTATTTACACAATTTAAGATGGAGCATCATGTTCCGTATTTTCACGATTTTATATCAAATATCGCATTTCGTATTCACATAATTTAAGAGCCATTATTATGATTAATGTTCAAGTGACTTAAAAATTATACTTCAGAATTTGTAATCACGGGATTTTCCAATGATACATCGAGATTTGTATTCATACAATTTTAAAGTGAAGCATTGAGATTCGTATTAACACAATTTTAAAATCAAGCATCGCGATACATATTCGCATGATTTAAGAATGACTTAATGAGATTCATATTCAGAGAATTTTAAATAAAATCTCATATCGATATTTGTATTAAAACATTCACAAATTTCTGTAGATAAATGCTTCCTACGTTAGATTAATTTAGATTTTTCATTCAAATTCCTAGGCGCATCTTTTAAGCATGTAAATATTCACCTTCTTGATAAAGATGTACATCGCCTTCTTCATAAGATTTTATCTACTTGCCAATTGTCAACCGACTATCTGGATGCCTTAAAAAAATCCAAACCATCAATTAAGGTAAATAAGAAGCCCAAAGAACCGCCCACTTCTCAGCCAGCTGATGATAAATTCCACTCTACCTGGTGGAGAGAAGCACAACAAGCAGCTGAAGATATTGAACAACGAATTAGAAATGAACCTGATATGGATATGAAGTACTATTTTTCATTCTCTCTCGTTTTTTTTGTTCATTGTGAACTTAAATAATTAATATTCTAGAGTCAATGTGGCTTATACGGTAAGTGATTTAGCGCTCACTTCCCATTGATGAGACTTTGGTTTGAGTACCCATGTTTATTAGTATACTGCTCTCGGTTTGCACTGGAAACAGTTTCGACATACTGTAACGTGAGTGGTATTGGGATTATGCCATGGGCGAGAGTAAACTTTCTATCATCTTAACCATGGAATATTTTCATGTTTTTTTCTTCTTTTTTTTCTATTGATGTAAAGTGCAAATGCAAGCTTGTTTCAAATCTTATACTCTATGATCGTGAATCTGTTCTAAAGCGTTACCGAAGAGCTCCCTTGTACTCCAAGTTCGGTTCAAAATTGCAAAACTACGGGTTTGAGCATTATAAGTGACAAATCATCTGTGAATTAATACCAGCAGTAAAATAAAGTAAATATCTTAAGTCTTTCAATAAATTTGATTTTTTGTTATATTATTTTATTTTTCGGTAAATCATAATTTTTATTTATTTATTTCTTAGCAAGAATTTTGTATCTAATGAAAAAGAAAAAATTTTCCCACAATCATTTAGAATGAACTTCTTTTTCCTTAGCTAACTAACGATTAATACGTATTCTAACTTAATATGTTTTAAAATTTAAAAAAACGCATTAAAATAAAAATACTCAATTAAAATAAAAACTAAAGAAAACACGAAAACTTAAGAGATTTTAATTTTTTTCCTGAAAAATTTTTCAAGATATATAATTAGTTTAGTATTTTTGTCTTAATGTACATTTAACTTTTTGCTTATTTCATCATATCTCAAAAGCTTTTTAAGCAAATTAAATAGATTTTGCATACAATTACAAAATTTGTTTTTCCAAAGACAATTTTATGCAAAATGTAGCTTTTAGTAAATATTTTTTTATTTACTAATATTCAAAAAACTTATGAATCGTAAGTTTTACAATTTTTTACATCATTTTAAAGAATGCAATTTTAAATGACAAAATACAAAATTTGTTTTTCCAAAGACAATTTTATGCAAAATGTAGCTTTTAATAAATATTTTTTTATTTACTAATATTCAAAAAACTTATGAATTGTAAGTTTTACAATTTTTTACATCATTTTAAAGAATGCAATTTTAAATGACAAAATACAAAATTTGTTTTTCCAAAGACAATTTTATGCAAAATGTAGCTTTTAATAAATATTTTTTTATTTACTAATATTCAAAAAACTTATGAATTGTAAGTTTTACAATTTTTTACATCATTTTAAAGAATGCAATTTTAAATGACAAAATACAAAATTTGTTTTTCCAAAGACAATTTTATGCAAAATGTAGCTTTTAATAAATATTTTTTTATTTACTAATATTCAAAAAACTTATGAATTGTAAGTTTTACAATTTTTTACATCATTTTAAAGAATGCAATTTTAAATGACAAAATACAAAATTTGTTTTTCCAAAGACAATTTTATGCAAAATGTAGCTTTTAATAAATATTTTTTTATTTACTAATATTCAAAAAACTTATGAATTGTAAGTTTTACAATTTTTTACATCATTTTAAAGAATGCAATTTTAAATGACAAAATACAAAATTTGTTTTTCCAAAGACAATTTTATGCAAAATGTAGCTTTTAATAAATATTTTTTTATTTACTAATATTCAAAAAACTTATGAATTGTAAGTTTTACAATTTTTTACATCATTTTAAAGAATGCAATTTTAAATGACAAAATACAAAATTTGTTTTTCCAAAGACAATTTTATGCAAAATGTAGCTTTTAATAAATATTTTTTTATTTACTAATATTCAAAAAACTTATGAATTGTAAGTTTTACAATTTTTTACATCATTTTAAAGAATGCAATTTTAAATGACAAAATACAAAATTTGTTTTTCCAAAGACAATTTTATGCAAANAGTATGAAGTGTAAAATATGTTTTAATTTAAGTATTTTCAATTCATTTGTTTGAGTCTCCCAGTTTGGGGAGGCTTGACTTTCTGCCAGGCTAAGTCTGGTGCGACCCTCATTGAAAATCATATATTTATTGAAGTACTTTAGGAATAAAATTAGTGAATTTTGAAATGAGAGGATAGTAAAATAATTAACTTAAAAACATATTGCTGGCTTGGTGCGTTATTCTCCATTCTTTGATGTTACTGTTAATAGTAGGTGAAAAAATAACTGTCCTTTTTCAATTAATTTGCCCCATTCCTTGACTTGTATTATAAATGCCACTTTTCTGATTAAATCTATTTTGTATAAAAGGTATCAAATATAATTTTGTATAAAAGGTATCAAAACAAAATCTGCTTTTACTTTAAACTTTAGTTTGAACAAAGATAGGTAAATAAACAAAAACAGTGTCAACGAGTATGCAATACCTCTAATGCTGAAAAAAAAATCAACTCTTGTCTGTTTTGCAACAATTTATAATTACTGTAACACTCATAGCCTTAGTGTTATACTTTCATTCTAAAATAGGTTTTGGCTCAACAAGAATGCTGAAAAAGCACTCATTAGATTACAAGCTAGTCAACCTTTAAGGGATGAAACAGAAAGATTGTGCAAAGAATTGAAAGAGCTTTTACATTTAAAAGAAATTGTTTGGAATTGTGGCTGGGGTATCACACACTTCAGGGGTTGTCTGCAAAGCTTCAAAACTCTGTATCTTCAGCATCCCGATATTATGAGTACTCTGTCTGGTAATTCCTAATGTTACTACTATATAATTTTCAATTTAGTTTTGAGATTTTACTATTTCAGGAAAAAATATTTTTCTTTTTTTTAAAAAATGTCTTTATTGACAAAATTTATTTTTGTATTACATAATTTTTTGATTCATTATGGGGTTTTGCTACCTTGCTGAATCATAGTTAGCTACTTGCTAAAAGTTTATTGATAAATGATTTTACATATAATTGAATTAGAAAAAAAAAGGATTAGAATGACTAAATAAATATATATTTATATCATGTAGTACGTAGGTGAACTGGGTTCTTTGATCAATCAGGCAATATCAAAGCATATTTTATTGAATCACTTTAATAGTGTTGAGGATTAGCAAAGCTCTGAGGAAATTCACACTTTTTATAGAAATTTTTTTTACAGAGAAGGGTTGAAAAATCCATAATTATATCATGATCAAGGGATGAAAGTGGGGAAGAATTAACACTTTTAAATAGTTCTCTTCATTTAGGTCAAACTATCTGTATTTCTTTCAGGAAAATAACTTTCGTAATAATTTGTTAAATAATTTTAAGATTTAAAAAAAAAACATTTTTTTCAATCATTAGTACGGAATCTTTTGTTAGGGGAAACTTTTTGTTTTGGATAATTACTGAAGGAATGGATTTTAGACTATGAATTGTAATAAAATTATCTATATATACATACATGCACTCACACATATATATACATGTGGTAGAAAGTACCGAAATCTCTGTATTTTTCTTTTTCTTTCCCTTGTCCTCAAAGTACATTCAGTGGAACTAAATGCTGATGTATCCAAAATAAGACTCTACATTCTTAATCTCCATTTAGTGATTTAATTTTTCATGCTAAAAATATTGTAGCAACTCTGTTTTAAGCTTCTTACTGTGTGAATTTTATTTGACAGTAAATGTAGTTGTTAACATTAAAATATTTTGAAATTCTGTCTCTCTAACCATAACAATCAGAGCTAGGTAGTAATTTATTACCCTTATTTATACAAAATTTATTTTTTCCCCTGAAAAGTATGCTTGTTGGAGGGTCGTATGTCAGCAAAATTACTTTAACCCATTTATGCATTGTTATAGAAACAGCATTTTTATTATGTAATTTATATATTTTTAATTTCTGTTTTTATAATTCACTCAGGGTTGAATGTATCTATTTCGTGAATAGGCGATGTTGATAAAAATAATTATATTGATTTTTACTTCAATACAAATTTGAGTTACATTACTTGACTTTAATAATATATAACTGAACTGGAATTGTTATTTTGTAACTAATAATTTTTCTCATTGACTAGAAATTGAATATGTAATTGTTTTTTTCGTTTATTTATATTTGACTTTAATTCCAGATAACTAAACTCTAGATTTCAATACTTGCTATTGTGGAAGAGTTTAAAGTTACAATAGCAACTTATCACAAAATTGACAAAAATCAATTGCCTACTACATAGTTAGCTTTTTTTTAAAATTATTTCTAATATAAGCTGTTATTAACTACCAGTTTTGAGTGTTATTTTCTGATAGTCATATTTTTTTTTTAGTTATTTGAAGGGTGGAATGTGCTGGTAATCATGATTGAAATATCTTTTTAAGGTCGAACCCTTGTTTTCGGCAGGCAAACTGGTGTGAGTTTTGAAGGTCACATCATTCTCAGCAGTGAAGATGTTCGTAATCATTGGATTGATGTGAGTTAGCATTTGTATTAAGTTAAATGCTAGCATTTTTAGTATATTTAGCTCTTTTTTTTAAAATTTTATTTCTTACTAGTGTTTTAATAATGTGTAAAATCTGGACTGAAAAAGTGAGAAAAAATATACTTATTATAAATAAAATAATTTTAAACTGGTATACTTTTTAAAAAAATGTTTGATTAATCAATAAATAGGAAATAAAGCATTTCAAGGTTTAACAGGAAACACCATTATGATTGTCTAACCAAAAATAAATGGTTTTTTCTCCCTAAGTAAATTTACTGGTCACATAATAAGTAAAAACATGTGAAGAACTTTTAAATTATTTTGCATATTTTAAATCATATTTAAACGAATATGCAAATTCTATGAAACATGCATTGTTGATATTTTCCTTAACTGATGTTTTGAAATTCCTCAAACTTCCAAATATTTTAACAGTAGCCTTTTTTTTAAAGCATCTTGAAACTTGTTTCATATCAAAATTGCAAAGCTGAATTGTCATAACACCACAAAAGGAGAAAAAAAAAATGTGTTACTCGATTATTGGCTTTTACAGCTTACAGATTTATTTTGCATTAAGCATCATTTTATAAATTTTAAGTTGAATCTAAAATAAAAAGTTTAAACACGTTTGCTTTGTTAAGTTGAATTGAGCTAATTTTTTAAAAAAATAATAATAATCGCAGATTTACGGCCTTAGTGTCTAAGACAACTTGGGGTCTATGAAGATAGTGCTGGAGATTGACGATGTAAATTCTGCTACCTGGATGACAACTACAGTAGAACTTTGATTAACCGAGGTTTCTGTTTACCAAGGCAATAACGAAGTCTAATTTTTTTTTTAATCTTTTTTTTTTTCTTCCTCCTTTCAAAAATGAGCTTGGAAAAAATTCTACACATTTTAGTTTGTTGTCCATATTTCAGGCACATCTTCCCCACAAAAGCACTCAACTTCCAAGAAATATTACCTTCTGAGAAGACAACATCTATGAATGCTTTGTTAACAGTGGTCATGTGACCCTATTGAATACCAGTTGATTTCCTTTTTAAATCTTTTTAGCTTTGAAACATAAGTTCATATTTGTTTATTTTTATCATTTAAAAAATGCTCTATTGTTTTTTAGTTTAAAAGTAGTTAAATTCGCAAGCACGGAAGGTTTTTATACATGGTTTCTTTTAACCGAGATATCCAATATCGGAGGTACTAGCGGTCCCAATTAGCTCAGATAATTGAGGTCTTACTGTATTTGTTTTTTCATTCATCATTGTGCCATTAGTCTCAAAACTATAGAGCCTTAAGCTCCCCAGGCTGTTGTTTCTGGCTATTGCAAGAATAATTTACTTTCTTTACTTAACCAATTTTCATATGTCATTAACAAGAATAAAATTGTAACGAAGACCATCATCCCAAAATTGCCCATTATTTTTTGTTTTTATATTTTGAAACCTGTATTGAGATGTGCTGTTGTTTATTAGATGATACAGTCAGTTGGCCAGTTTGATGAATTGCTTAGTCAAGTGCCTCAAGCGGAGAGATCGCTTTCTGAAGTTTTGAGAGGAATTCTAGTGGATCACAGAAAATTCCAGCCTGCTGTGATGGTTCAAAAATATAGTCAACAGCTTGGCAAGCTAACGTCTGCTCTTTACAAGCATCGTTGGGTACATGGATATCCATCATCATGGCCTCGGAGATTGGATAAATTCCAGATAGTTGTTGAGTGGTAAGATGTAGCAATATTTTTGTTTTTGTTTCAAAGGATTCTACATTAATTTCTATAGGAATAAGTGTTACATTCCAGGGGTCAGTTTAAAAGAAATTTGGGTGCGTTAACGGACCCTTCACGAAATATATTTTCATAAAAACGGACCCTTCACGAAATAATTTTATCTTTTAATCGGACCCTTCTCAAATTTGTTTATCTTCATTATTGTTTTGTAAATTGAATGAACCCTTCCCAGGGGGAGACGGTTCGAGACAAGCTAAGTTTCCCTAAGTTTAAATTCCAAATGTAGTATTCCGAGAAAATATTTCTACTTTAACAAACAACGTGTGCACATTCTTACTAATATTAAATCATATTTTTTTGTAAATAATTAATTGATCAATTTATATTTATTCATAAAATTAATTAATAGAATATTATGTAAATAAAAATTAATTTCTGGCAATTTTTTAAATAAAATATTTACCAAATAGTATTTACAGTAATTTTGTAACTTCATTATTAATTTTTTTTTTTTGCTTTGCTTTGCTTTGCTATGCAATTATTGTAAAATTTTATGTGACATGATAATTTCAATACATTTAATACAAACTGAATTTTGCTAAATTTTATAATTTTTTTTAAAAAATGAATTTACAATGGACATGAATTTAAAATTATTGTTAGTTTTCAGTTATTTTGAATTCTTAATGGTGCTTTTTAAAGATGTAACATTTACAATTAGGTGATGAGTTTTGAAATTACTGTGTAATAACTTTTTTTAAAATTTTGCTTATGAATATCATTAAGTAATTTTTTAATTTGAGTTTGAAATTCATGCATTTTTAAAGTTTGCCTCTCATATCAAGTTCTTGATATAATTTTTACTTACATACTTCGTAACTGAATTGATGGAGATACTTGAATTTAATTATAAAAGAAAGTTATTTAGTTAAAAGAAATTTCTTCTTTTCATTTCCGACAAATATATAGTTTTTAAGCAGTTCCTTTTTATTGTTGTATTGTAGGAGTATTCATTGAAACATTGCGATACATGCTTCTAAGAATTTTTTATGGCTTTTTTTATTTAAAAAGAAATACTGTAATTTCTCTTTATCAAAATTTTTTAGTTTTATGTTCTAATTAGTAAGTTTTCTTTTTAAAATCAATGCAGTAAATATTATACATAGTTTGTAATTGCTCAATAAAGTCTTTTTTTTGCAGTGAAGCTGGTCCACTTATGTTATCACCCACTGGTCAATTCATTGTGCCCGCTTCATGTCCAGCACTTTTGCTAGTGGATTTTATTTCAAAAAATATGGAAGAGGCTAATCATAGGTTGCAGTTGTACAACACGTGAGAATATTATTTGTATTTTAATGGAAAATGTCATGAAATTGCTATAATTTTATTAATCATTTGATGATTCAATATGTTGGGTGCTCCATTTATTACCATTTCATAAATTTATATCTTATTGCCTAGTAATTAATTTTAATTAATGAAATTATATTTTTAGAATCTTTTAAAAAGTAAGACTGCTAAGATCTTTTAAAAAGTTATAGGATATTAGAAACTGCATATTAATATCTTTAAAAAAAAGGGGGGGGGAGAACATTTTAACTGTAGAATAATATTATATGGACGTATGCTATTCTATTATAGACATAAGATACTCCTAGCTTTTTAATTTTGTTTGATTCTTGAATTTATATTTAATCCTTTTAATTTTTTTTCTGAATGAAAAATTTCCAATAAATCTTTCTGTTAGGAAGTTCTTGTATCTAAAATCAAATTCTATAAATAGATATTCTTTCTTTTAACGGGTTCATACACTAACATTAAATTAAACCTAGACTTTGAGCTTCTAATGATTTAAAAAATATGTTTTTATCAATATTTATAATTAAAAAGCAAAAAAATTTTTAATGTGTTAAGAAGTTTTTGTGATTTTCCTCTTCATGTAATGCAAATGCAGTGAATTTCCATCAAAATGTCCTCCATGAAGGCTAGTTTGGTCCCAGTGCTTTATTCCGGAGCTCCCTTGTCTTCTGGGTTGGGTTAATAATTACAAGTTATATGGAGTTGAAAATTAGTAGTTGTAAACTCAGATTTGGATTGGCTGTTCAGCGCCAGCTCTGAAATAAAATATTGGTATAAATGTTATTTGCGAGTAGAAGTGCAGTCAAATAATGTGCTTAATTTGGATATTTATTTGTGATTCTCTCTTTTTTTTTTTTTTCAGAATGAAAAGAAAAGAGCTGAAAGTTTATATGCAGAGCATGTCTGAACTTGGGTTAAGTTCATTAGAAAAAGATGACAACATCACCCCAGACCTAATGGTTCACTGCTGCGAGAGATTACTAGAAGAGCCAACCTATTTTGGGTGCAAATTGTTGGATTTAAGATTGCGAATAACAAATTACTATTCTATACTGCAAGATGGTGAGATGTGTATTCCTTGGGACTGGATGAGTAAGAATTTGTGATGAACATTATTTAATTGTAGAATAGAGATGTATATTTTTGTAGTATAATAATTGTTGACATTTCTCGGAGTTTTAAAAAAGTGGCTTGTTTACTATAACTGGTTGTGCCATTGTGATAAATAATAAAGCCTTATTTCTTTTTCTTTCTTTCTTTTTTAAATGAAGTAGACTTCTGTAAATTAATTCAATTTTTGAAAGCTACTCTCACAAGCAGCAAAATGAGCACACGAGCACCACTAAGGGAATAAATAGTAAAAAATTATTTCATACATGTAATTTATCTATGAACATTTTTTCAGGGTGCGTAGCATTTTTAAAAAGTGCTTAAAGGTGCTTATATTCTTTTTTTAAAAGCCCATAAAGGTGCTTTTTTCATTGGGTGTTTTTAAAAAGGTGCTTATTTTCCCTTTTTCAAAATGAGATTTTTCCTTTACCATGTTAATTTTAGCTGTGAATTATTCAAAAAGACGCAATTCACATTTTTCTATTCAACGGTTTTACTATTCATTCAACCCCAATCTATTTCGTCGTATTGTCAGTCCGGAGCGTATGAAAACGCCATTCGTTTTACATGATTCAAAACTTCATGATTTTTAACAATTCTCAAAAACAATGCCCAAAGTTTTTTTTTTTGACATGATAGTTGAAAGGAGATAAAACCATCAATCGTCAAAAAATTTCCAACCCTGCCCAATTATGATATTTTTTTAAAGTGCTTAAAAATATCTTTTGAGTGCTTGAAAAGTTTGTAAAAGGTGCTTATTTTTTGTTGAATGATTTTGCTACGCACCCTGTTCTTAAAATGTAAGAATAGACAAGGATTAATAAAGCTACACATCTTGGGAAGAATGAGCCTTCCCTCATCAGGCAGTTAGAAAGGGAAATGGTAGGTAAGACAAGGAATTGCAGAAAAGTGTACTATATCGAAAAATGGGTAAGGAGTGAATCAAAAAGAAAGAAAAAATAATATTGTAGAAAAAGAGCAAAAAGGGAAATGAAAAGTGAGAACAAAAACTCAACTTTAAAAACAAATCACTGAAATAAGTTTTTTTCAAGCAGTAGATAAAAATAGAGAATCAGTTTTTACAGTTTCAATGTCTTAGTTCAAAAATTTTCTAAAAAATGAAGTTCAGAATTACCATTTTCATTGAAAATATATTTAGCTTATTGTTTTGTCTTGTTTCAGGTTTCAAGATGTTAAAATTAAACTCAGAACTAACTAACTACGATTCTAAACTTTTTTTTCTATGGACAAGGATGATATTACTATAGGAAAAATCAATTCAATAACTTCATCTTCTGTTTGGAAAATCTTGTTTTGGGTATTTTATTCTCATTTTACTTCATTCTCTTTTTTTCTTCTTCTTCTATTTAAGTTGTTTCCTTGTTTTTGATTCTCTTCTCATCCTTCTTTCCCTGGTTGCAAATTTTTCCTCCCATTTATTCAGTTATTCTTAAGTTTATTTTTATCATATTCTTAGCTAAGAGAATTCCTATTATACACTAATGAGAAAAAATTTGTTTTCTGAAACATGTCGCTTTATTTTTGTGTATGTTTTAAAAAATTTGAATCATGTTTTTTTTTACACCAGTTTGATTCTTCAATAAATATACCTTGTTAAATGCTTGTTAGTTAATTTAGTGGTTTTCCGTAAATGCTCTATATAGAATTGTTTTTATTCTTTTCTATTTTTTTAGGCGTTTAATGTACATTAACTAGAAATTTTTCTAATATCTGAAGTAAACTTTTTAAGGTACCCAACAGGGTTCAAAACAATTCTTTTTTGAAACAGCCGTGATTAAAATTTTACTTTTGTTTTTGGTCAGCAGGGGTCCTAAAACTATGAATCTAAAGTAAAATAAAAAAATTTATAAAGTAATTTTTCAAAATTAGAGTAAATTTCAGCTTTAAAAACTAAAAATTTTCCTTGTCACGCTAACAACTCTTCAATAAAACTTAATGCTTAAATGTCTACTTTTTTTTCTAGATCAATAATGTGATGAAATTATTTTGAACTAAAATTATAAATTTCCTATATACAATGAAATATGAAATAGAAACTAAATATATAGTTCAATATTGATTTTTGAAATTCTGAACATTCTTACTTAAAGTGGGAAATTCACACTTAGACCTTTGCTTTTAGTTCAACCATAGCTAACATTATACAAAATCTACATACAAAGTTTCAAAGAATTTAATAATAAAATTTTTTTTTGAATGTGTGTTAGTGTTAAGAAACCTTCTCAAATTTAGCGTTTTTAGAAAATTCATTTAATATGCAAGAAAATTCTGAGCAAAAAAATTATTCAAAACTTAATTTCTAAAAATTAATTATATTTGTATTAAAAATATTTTTTTTTTCAAATGAAGATTAAAATACTTAACATAAAAATTTATAGTTTAATTTCTGCAGTTTACTTCAGGTTTCAGTTTTGTCTATTAGCATATGATAAAACAAGCATAACTTCTTTTCTTGAATTGTAGAACAACAATTCAAAGGGTTTTGGAAAATTAGTGAACTGAAGTTCAAACATAGATAGTAATAATAGTTTTAAAAAAATTAACTTTCATCAAAATTGAAAATTTTTTCCCAGTTAGCATACCTTAAAGAAATGTAGAAATTAAGATTAAAGAGAAGGTAACAAGAAAAAAAAATTCACTTTCAGTAGCTTTGAAAGTCTTTTCTCAATGTTGTTTTTTATTTCCTCTATTTATTGCAAATTCATTCATATGAAACTTTTTTACTTCCATAGTTTCAATTCAATTCTTAGACATGGTGCGTAGTGTTTTTAAAAAGTGCTTAAAGGTGCTTATTTTCGATTTTCGTTATTTAAAAGCCCTTAAAGGTGCTTTTTTCATTGAGTGTCTTTATAAAGTGCTTAATTTTCCTTTTTCAAAAATTGATTTTTTTTCTCGTTACCCAGTCGTTTTTCGCCATGTATTATGCAAAAGCGTGCTTTTCACATTGTTCTATTCAACGTTTTCACAATTCATTTCGGTGTACTGCTCATAGCGTATGAAAGCTCCAATCATTTTACATGTTCGATGAAATATGTGCGTCTACTGAGCTGGGTTCGGTGAGATTATTGCCTTCTAATGTGCAACTCTGCTGCATTTTGCAAGTTATTCTCAATTTCAGATTTCATTTTCCACCCTCTCGTATCAAACCAAAAAATCTCTCGATCATTTTATAACGGCTAATATAATCAAGAAAAGAGTTCTTTATCAGAGACTAGTTATTTTCTCATGATCACCTAAAGTTTTTGAACATTGTTTTGCATTTTGTTAATGTATGTAGTGCTTAAAAATATTTTTTGAGTGCCTAAAAAGAACTTAAAAGGTGCTTATTTTTTGTTGAAAGATTTGGCTGCGCAGTCTGTTAGACATTTTTTTTCTTCTCAAATCTAATAAACATTTAAAAAATTTCCAAGTTCAATTAAAATCTCTTTATTGGTACTCTGTAAATTAATACATTTTTTTTTCTTCTCAAAAATACAAAGTTTTTATGAGTGTATCTTCATGAAAAATGTGTGAAATAAATATTGATGTAAGAGTTAAAAATGCGTGTTAATGGAAAGAGATGAGTCTTTTTATCCAAGTAATGACTGAAGTCGATATTTTACAAATGAGATTGACACATTAGCTGTTAGTGTCCACCCTGGTCTCCAAAAACAGATTGTATCACATGATTGTTTGGATTTATCTGACCTAGAACTTCTGGATAATTAGTAGCAATTTCATTCCACATAGCTTGTGTAATCAGCGGTAGAACTTCCTGTTAAAGATAATATATTAAGTTCTGTTAAAGAAAATATATTAAATAAAATAAAAAATTAAAGTTTTTAACCAGCACTATAATGTTCAGAATATTAATGACAAAACTATTTATGTTATTTTCTACTTTATGTTTATACTCTTTATGTCATTTAGTATTTATCTTTAATTTAGTGTACTCAGAAAAGTACAAAAAAAATAATAAGCTCTTTATAATATAGAATACAACTAATTGTTTTTTTCAGTAGTAGCAATGAATTATGAATGTTTTTTAATTAGCTCTCGTGGTTTGTTTTTTTTAATTAGTAAAAGTAGATATTGTAGACGCCAAAATGTTCAGTGATCGTAATCAAGGACAATAAAGCTGCACATGAGCTCATCCCAATCATATAACTATGTACTAGTTCTAGCCGTTTCCATTATCTGACTGATTTAATTCATCTGTATTGGCATCATTTGTATGAAAATATTTATGTATGTTTATAGTACATACTTTACTTTGTCACCTGCCAATTTTTATTTGTTATATTCTTACCTGCACGGGATGAAGACTGTCTACAGGCTCTAAAAATCTCCACAATTCGTGTCCTTCTTTTTCCCACTGCTCTATCACTGCAATAAAAGAATGTAATTAACATTAAATTAACATATAAAACATAGAATTAACATATAAAACATAGAATTAACATATGAAACATAGAATTAACATATAAAACATAGAATTAACATATAAAAACATAGAATTTAATAAATTAAAAATTAGCATATTTTTTCAATTAGAATTTCATACTTGAGTAATCAGTTATTTTAGAATAAAGTAATAAAAAATTATTCAATGTTTAACTAGATAGTTGTATTTTGAAGGGGAATTTTTTTTTTTTTTTACCTTGTACCATTGGATTTCTGAGAAAATGAATCTTGAAGTTGTCATACTTCTTTGTTGCTGCAATATCTTTAAGAACTTCTGTCAATTCAACAGATCTCTAAGTATAAAAATACATAGACTTTAATTCATACATTTAAAGCCAAGAATGAATGAAATGAGAAACAAACTATACATTGTTTCAATAAGTATTATTTTGGAATGCTGTAATTTTTATATTTCAATTCATAAAAATAGGAGTATGTAGGGATCATAAAGTTTAATTTTAATTGGTTCTATTTTTTAAGAGCTCACTAAATCAATGATTGAGTAAAGACTTGCTAACTTCTAAACACATGTTAAGGTTATTATGTAAATATTTTGTATTTGTAGTGTGTTCCCTATTATGACTATAATCAATATATATTTTGAGAGTTCTTTAAAATATATAGTAAAAAATTTATGCACACTAGGGGTCTCAAATTAATAGTTAAGTTAAAATGGGAGAAAAAAATTGTTTTTCAGTTATGTCCAATCACTATTGAGATCAATAACAGCAAAGGAGAGATTCAATTAATTTTAAACTAGTTTATTTGACAATTAACCTATAAGGCTAATGAATTCTCTTAGTTAGCTAAAGGCTGTTGAAATAGCAAATTAATTTGCTCCCTCTATACTAAACCGATTTTTAATTTTTAAAATCCTGCTCACTCTTTCCTCGACTTTAATGATTGGTCGTAGCATGATAAAGTTTTTTTTAATTTTCACTTAAATATTAATTTATGACGCCTAAGTTGTTTTTTCTTCATTTTTGACTAGGATTCTAAAAAAATATATTGGACGATCTTTACCACAACAGTAGTTTACATCAACTTTTGCATTGTCTATGGCAAAAGCAAGTTTTTCATAAAGCGTATATTTGAAATGCCTTTCAGTTCCCAAGAAGTTTCAGTTAAAACTACAATCATTATTTGCAGAAAAGATAAACGAGCTATGGCATCTCCCAATGAAGTGACCCTTGTTCGAAATCCATAGATAACCGGTTGAAACGAATTCAGTCTTACAGTTGATCTTTCTACTCTCGTCAACCCGAGTGCTGATGTAAAATAACCTCGGTGTTGACGGATTTCGGGTTAGAACCTTCTTACCGTCGGGCTAACCATTGGAAGTTTTCATGGTTTTCCTCTGCTTAAAATGCAAATCGGGGTTAGTTCCATGAAAAAATTCCTCCTCAGAGGCTAGTTAGTACCAATGTTTGATCCATGAGTTACTTTTATTTTCTAGATTGGGTTCATAATTACAAGGCTATGGAGCTGAAAATTGATTGTTGAAAACTTAAAATCGGGTCGTCTGTTCAATGCCGTATATACATGGTGCGTAGCGTTTTTAAAAAGTGCTTAAAGGTGCTTATTTTCGATTTTTGTTTTTTAAAGGCCTTTAAAAGTGCTTTTTTTCATTGGGTGTTTTTAAAGAGTGGTTAATTTTCCCTTTTCGAAAATTAGATTTTTTCTTTACCATGTCGATTTTCACAACATATTATGCAAAAGCGTGCTTTTCACATTGTTCTATTCAACTTTTTCACAATGCATTTCGGCCTACCGTCGGTCCATAGCGTATGAAAGCGCCAATCATGTTGCATGTTTGATGAAAAACTTGTGGTTCCACGTGTGCGTCGACTGAGCAGGGTTTGAAGAGATTATTGCACTCTCATGTGCAACTCTGCTGCATTTTTCAAGATATTCTCAATTTCAGGCTTCATTTCCGCCCCCCCCCCTCTAATAACTATCCGAAAAATCTCTCGATCTTTTTATGGCGGCTAATATAATCCAGAAAAGAGTTCTTTATCAGAAACTAGTTATTTTATCAGGATCATGTAATCTTTGAAAATAATTTTGCATTTTGTTAAAGTATATAGTGCTTAAAAATATTTTTTGATTGCTTAAAAAGTACTTAAAAGGTGTTTATTTTTTTGTTGTAAGATTTGACTACGCTTTACTTGTTATAAAATAAAAAAAAATATTTATAGAAAAGCTAACCAGAATTCAGTTGAATATTGTAAGTTTCTCTTAAAAATAAAAATGCACCCTTCTAATAATAATAAATTTTATTATTAATTAATAATAAGTAATATTACTATATAATAATTATAAAAAATGTTATAATAATAAATTTAATTATAAATATGATGCCCTTATTAATATTAATACATTTTTTATTTTTTAATAAGGGCATCATGAAATGAAATAAAGTGTTTACCTGAGTAGTGGCTTGCCTGATAGTTTCGTTCTTGTTCATCCATCCATAGCAAGGTCCTATCCTCATGCAGTTGAACCATTCATACATATCTGAGTACTTGACATCATTGTGGTATTTACCAATCGGGTGTATCTTGTCTCCCATTGTGTTGTAAATGAAACTTCCATTCACTAAGCCAATCAGCATTACGTGGCTGTTTGATGGTAATATGGAGTTCTGTGCAAAACAATTATTTTATTATTTCATATTCTTTAACTAACATGAAGAAAAAAAGAAACAGAATGAGTACTAGAATTAATATCCGTTTGATTCACATGGATATTAATTCTAGTACTCATTCTGTTTCTTTTTTTCTTCACGTTAGTTAAAGAATATGAGATAATAAAATAATTGTTTTGCACAGAACTCCATATTACCATCAAACAGCCACGTAATGCTGATTGGCTTAGTGAATGGAAGTTTCATTTACAACACAATGGGAGACAAGATACACCCCATTGGTAAATACCACAATGATGTCAAGTACTCAGATATGTATGAATGNGTAGCGATTCAGAAAACCGGAAAAATCAGTTATCCGGAATAGCGATGGTCCCGATCGTTCCGGATAATCGGTTCCCTACTGTACTATATTGTGAAGGCAATAGTGCTGATATTAGATCAAACAACATTTAAAAGTACTCGGAGTGCAAAGGGTTAACTGTTTGGGTTTGAATGTTTATGTTAACCTCATAAGTAAAGTGATCTCTGAAGCAAGGAAAGAGGTATTGTGCTGCTTTGTGAAGAACTCCTCCAGACTAACAGTCTAGGGCTGTTTGCTGCTATGGTAACAAGGGAGAGCACATTTCTAATGGGGGGTGCAATGGAGGAATGAAGGTGTTGATTGGTTTACTCACTCTGACTTATGCCAAGATCAAAACTATTCACCCCACACACATATATATAAATATAATTTATGTATATATAGAGAGAGCAATGATGAAGCAGCATTACGAGGAAAATATTTACGTTTTGGCTTTTAGTTCGGTTTAGAGTCAACTTAGCTATGTCACAAAATGAAAATTTGATTAGTTGTCCATTGAGGTATGTTGCGTGCGAACATAGAGTCCAAACTCGTCCGTCCGCTTAGAGTGTGCCATGTTTTTCAGCTGAAGGTGATCACCTAGCCTCAAGAAACTAGGTGGCCTTATAAATCGTATTTCGCCATTTTTAAGCAGTTTTAGTAAATGCGATTTTTATTTCATTTTAAATAAAACGATCTATTTATTTTTCGTTAAATTAATTTGCGTCAGAGAGCATTTAATGCGAGGTGCTATATCTTTATGGATTTCCGCCATTCACCTTATGAAGACAGATAATCTGCTTTCACTTGGGGGGTTTAAAATGGAAATATATATATACTTACTAATTTATCCAGCGTTGCGATGACGTTAGATCTAAACTTTTCAGGGGTAGTAAGGTCATCCAAAGAGCTCATCCACCTGCGAGGGTAATAAAGCCAGATTATGTCATTAAATTAAATATCATAAGAACTTTTTTTTATTTTTAATGGCAGATTACAAAGGCAACTTTTAAAAAATCAAGGGAAAAACATAAAAAGTTAATAATAACAATACACAAATGGTGCCAAGTCAGTCTAGAATGTAGTCTATAGAATCTAATGTGTGTCTATCCTCTTAAAAGACAGCATCAAGAGTAAAGTAACGATTCGCGTCAAAAGCACCCATTTCATATATTCTAAAATGTTCAAATTGGGTTTAGAATGATGTTTATCAGATGCAGATGTTATAATAGACAATCGTGGCTAGTAGGCAGCAACTAATTTCTTTCTAGGAATGTCCAAAACTTATTTAATGTGCACATTTTTTTATTATCCTTTTAATAACATCGCTAGAAAAAGTTTTTCCAACTGAATTTTCTACTGGTCTCTCTTGCAGTATGAAAAAGTATGAGATTATCACTTATTTGAAGAATACTGTTTCCTTTCCTTGCTAAGAAACCCGAGATGTTTATTTGATGAAAGCCACAGTGTGAGGATATATGTCAGAAGAACTTACCCCATCCAGGAATTTAACTATTCAATTTTTAGTTACGACTCCAAAGTTCCATTTTTTAGCTTATTTTAATGGTCTCTTGGGTTTTGTGAAATCTAGGTTTATTTTATGAATTCAAAAGCATTCGTGAATTCAAAAGCACTTGCAACTTAAATAGGAATATTTTATCCGATTAAGGGGAGGGGGGGGAATCGATTTTTGACGTGGACATAAAATTTTGTTTAATTTTATTGAGGTACTATAACTCATTAAGTAAATTTTCTGGAACTTTTTATGTCGGAAAAGGTATGAACAATATTTCATTTTATCATATTTCGCTAACTGGGAAAAACGGTTATCAAATGCTGCTATAAGTTTTAATTCTTATCTTTACTTATGTGACGTTCTGTTTAAGCCTCTAAATTTCATAAATATAGAGAGTAAACAATGTATCAGCATGAAACAAGACCGATTATTCTGTTGTAAGGTATTAGTTTTTCTTCGTGTTAATAATATTGAAGAAGATGAAATAAAATTACTGAAAAAGTTATATATTTTAGAAAGATTATGTATGTGTTTCTACAAAAATATCTTCAGCATTGATGATGTTCTATCTTTTGTTAAGATGGATGTAGTTTTCCTCAGATTTTCTTTTTGATGGTGCAAATTTTAAGATTGTTTTTATTAGAGTTTTAGTTTTTAAACTTTACGTCGTTGATTTTTTTTTTTTTAAATTTATGTTTGCAATCTGTTTAAAGGTTTAAAGGGAAAAACTTACCCAAATAAAGCTTTTAACTTTACAATAACTTTCGAAAAAGCTGAAAGAAATGTTTGTTTGTTTTTTTTGAAAAATTATTCATTTTAATCCAATTAAATTTCGAAACTTTATCATACTAATTTGTAGGTACACTTCAATTGTAGAGTGTAAAAAAAAAATTATATTCGATGTAGTAATTTTATAGAAAATTCTGAATTAATTTTTATATGAAGCCAGTATGATTAAAAACTATAATAAACTGGCGATGTAAGATTTCAAATACCTGATATTTTTCAAATGAGATTTATGCATTCCTTACCTATTGCAAACATCATTTCCCATCATTCCATAAAACACTACAGCTGGTTTATCCGATGAGGGATTTCTAGCAATACTGAAAAAAAATAAAAATACAAATTAGAAATATTTTTACTCTTCTAGCATTCAATATCATATTTGTGTTATATATACACGGTGCTTAGCGTTTTTAAAAAGTGCTTAAATTTGCTTATTTTCGATTTTCATTTTTTCAAAGCCCTTAAAGGTGCTTTTTTCCTCGGGTGTTTTTAAAAAGTGCTTAATTTACCTTTTCGAAAACTATATATTTTTTCTTTACCGTGTCGATTTTCACCATATATTATGCGAAAGCGTGCTTTTAACATTGTTCTATTCAACGTTTTCACAATTCATTCAAACACAATGAATATCGGCCTACCGTCGATCCGTAGCGTATGAAAGCGCCAATCATTTTACATGTTTGATGAAATACTTGCGAGTCCGCAGCGTCGACTGAGCTGAG